AAGACATGTCACTTATTGGAAAAAACTAGGGGTCTGTGACCCCCTAGGGCTCGCAGACCCATAGTGGAAGACCTCCAATTTATAAAATGTGTGTTTATAAAGTTTATAAAAACTTTTCAAAATCAGTTTCAGTCAAATATGGGAAATAGTTTTAAAGGGGTGATAGAATGCAGTTTCCATTGTCATAGATGAATAATGATAGTTCAGTGGATGAAATGGACGTACAGAGAAGTTCAAACCCATCAACACCTCCTTTCTCTGCAAATCTCACAATTCTAAACTTCCACCAAAAAAAAGGTGAATCCAAACGAAGCGGCGAGTTGACGTAAACTCTGGGATGTTGCCTTATTTGATACCGGATGTCTGCGAGTCTGATAAATGATCCCGGATTTTAGACTATGCGAGGTAGTGTTTCTTTAATGCCAGTAAGAGCGTGCGGGCAGTAAAATAATTCATACATCATGTGGATTAGAACTAATTAGATTCCGCAGACAACAAGAGCGCGGGGTGTGAGGAGGTCGTCACTGGGGAAACCTGCGCAGCGTATCTGTCCAAAGCGATGCTCTGATCAACATCATTCCAGTTAGTCATATACATAAGCCAATAAGTTTCGGTTTACTCTCTTACAGTCACCTAGTTACCATCTAAAGCTGTGCATCCTGCGAAATAGGTTGAATCCACCAGTAAAACACAAAAATATAAGACAAAATTTACAGCAGAAAACACTAAAGTATGTCCACGTCTAGTGAAGGTTAAGAAAGAAGTATATGAATGGGACACTGTGCAGGGTGGTTGCCTTCTGTGGCAGCGGCTGGCGGTGGGGGGTGTTGCACTGTAGGCGACCAAAATCCCAGACGATTTTGAAATTTCCCCTGGACATTTTTTTAGGTATGAAATGTAGGACACAATGTAGGATGTCTGGTCACCCTACCATATCAACAATCTGATGTTTCAGTGAGTGAGTGCTTGTTGCTATGATGCGTCTTTGCTCAGCAGCTTCGCTCGTTGTAAACCAACCAATCAGAGCACAGCTCATCTAAATATTCATGATCATACCATAAAAGGAAGAAAACCTGTTGTTTCATTCTAAGGCTTTTAACCAGGCTGCATTAGGGTTCATAGAATAGCAAATATGCCATTTTCAGCCCAACCAATGTTACACACCCTATTCAGAGACCTTAAGGACCAGCATCAGATACCCTATAGAATCATTCTATCACCCTTTAATGTGTGAATAATGGAGACACAGGAGGGAAAATAATCTGCTCATCCTACCTAGTCAGAGCCTCTCTATATGCAGTCAGTGGGACATGGAAAAAAATCGGATCAGAGATTTAAAAGTGGGAAGCAGCCGGTGTGTTCAGGGCTTTAGAAGGACTGAGGTCACCTTCATGTCCGTCTATGAATTCAGGCTAACTTCTCTGGTGATGAGAACAGAAACCAGCTGACAGCTTTCAGTGTCAGATAAGCGTCGGGTCACAGCGGCCGACTGCCGTTCAGCTGCGCTTTGCAGAATCAGATCCAGGTGAGTTTCTCAGAATGAGCTCATCTGTGGTTAATGAGTCATCGCTGTGAGAGCGTGACCTTTGTGTTGATAGTGTGAGCCGCGGTCCTACCAGGCGCTCCAGGCCGTAATCCGCCTGGGCTACGCAGGTGCTGCTGAAGGTGTTGGTCTCGATGATGTCGGCGCCGGCCTGCAGATACTCCTTCAAACACACAGCAGAAGAATCCCAGTCACCTCAGTGACCTGTTCAGGCTCAGCGGCTCTGATCCATCTGGATCCACTACCTGGTGTATTTTGTAGATGATGTGAGGCTGTGTGATGCTGAGGAGGTCGTTGTTTCCCTTCAGAGGTAGAGGATGGTCTTTGAACTCTTCTCCCCTGAAATCTTCCTCCTCCAGCTTCTCCAGCTGGATCATCGTTCCCATTCCGCCATCTAGGACCATGATCCTTTGCTGCAGCAAGCTTCGCAGCTCAGCCTCCACCGCGGAGCCGCAGCCTGGACAGAAGGAACTCAGTGAGATCTAAAACCAGCAGATATCCAACACATCCACTCATACTTATTAGATCTGCAAACAAATGGAGGCTCGGATTCAGCATCTGGTGAGAAATGTATCCCTACTATAAGGATCAACTAAAGAACAGAGTAATCCAGATTTATTCCCAAAGATTAAAATATTCAGATTTTAATAATTAGCATAGAAAAACATCAGATTGAAAATAAAATGAAAACAGTTTAATCCATGGAGCTTTACTGCTAAACACCAACTATTTTCAGACAATAAAGTCTATTTTCCTCTGATTTCAGCAGTAAAAATATTAACTAATTAACAATCAACTGATTGATGGAGAAGATCTATGCTCATAGAGAGACCTAATATTTTATTTCTAGTAAATAACTGTCTTTATTTTTCAGGAGAAGGAAAATTATCGTGTTTAACTCCTTAGATTGAGGGGAAAATACAGATTTATTCAATCACAGGTCAGCTGAACATTCAACAAATGTTCAGCTGACCTGTCACCCCCCCACCCCCAGCGGACCATGTGGCAGACCGGGTGGGGGGGTGAATACTTACCGGCGGCAGCAGGCAGCTGGTAGCGGACGTTAGTCGGAGCCATGCGGGAGTCTGGAGGCCGAAGAAACGGCCCTACTGTCCGTCTGAAGACCCGCAGGAGAATGTTGCTCCCCCAAAGTTTTCCTCCTCACACTCCGGAAGTGCCCCTCTTACAGCTTCCCCTCACAGCCCTTCAAAGTAAAAGCATGGCGGGAGTTTTATTTTTATTTGGTTCAAACACGTCTGATGAATTCCACAAAATGACTTTACTAAAGTAGGGCTATTTAATACGGAGGAGGATTAGGGCCACTGGGAAAAAAACAGTTAACTGATTTTTTAATTTTATTTCAGTTTAGTATGGGGAAAAAGTCAGAATTCCGACTTTTTTCTCAGAATTCCGACTTTTTTCTTAGAATTCCGACTTTTTTCTTAGAATTCTTTTTTCTTCAGAATTCTGACTTTTTTTTATTGTCAGAATTCTGAGAAAAAAAGTCGGAATTCTGACTTTTTTCCCATACTAAACTGAAATAAATGTAAAAAGTCAACTTTTTTTTTTCAGTGGCCCTAATCCTCTTCCGTAATTTAAAGACCAAAAAACTATTTGGAATTTAACTTTTGAGTTTAAAGTCACATTTTTACGAGAATAAACATGTAAATTTACAAATTTAAAACAAAAATATGAGAGAAAAATTGCAAATAAGTAAAAAAAAAACTCGCAGATTTAAGAGAAGAAAGTAGAAAATTTGCTAAAGATTGAAACAAGATTTAAACTTGTACATTTGCGGAGCAATGTGAGATTATAAAACACGTTAAACGAGGCTACATAACATGCAAATGAATCATTAATTAGGGGGATTTAGGGAAATGGAATGAGACGTTATAATGGCTCCATGGAAAAACTTAATGATACAACATATTTGCATGTTTATAATCTAAATTTGCACATTTTAGTGTTGTAAATGTTCTACCTTTTCCTTCTAAATTTGCATCTCTATAATCTCTTAAAAGTTTTGCCTAGTAAATTTGCCTATTTATTCTCAAACATTTGCCGCTTGTTCCCTTCAAAATTAGCATTTTTATGATCTCGTAAATATAGCACTTTAAACTATTTTTTTCGTCTTTGATCTTCCCTAATACACCATCTTTACCAAAGCACCAAATCTAAACAGAAATAAAAGGAAATATGACATTATAGAGGTAAATCACAGAATAATAGATCATAACATCAGCAATATTCTAATTGTTGTATCTCTAGAGGCACATTCTGGAAATATATCTGTCGGTTTATTATTATTCTAGAATGTTTTGGCTTAGTTGCAATAGCAGCTAAACCAAACCAAAATTTTCACGGAATTAACTTTTATTAACCTCATAACAGTTCTTTCAAGATGTCAATCAAGATTAAGATTTCAAAGCGGCTTTCTTTAGATTTTGGTTGGGTTTTTTTTTTGTTTTGTTTTGGTTTTTTTTTGTTTGTTTTTTTTGTAAATAATATTTTCATCAGATTTTCCCAGTAAATAAAGTTTAGATCTGTGATATTATTAGAAAAAGTCAGTAGTTTGGGTTTATAGGTTGATATTCTAATACATTTCAATCTCTAATTAATCTGCTGGATGTCATTTTAATGGGACTGAATTAGAATTAATCCAGAACTGTTTGTAGTTTAACTCTGAGCAGAGGTGGCTAGAGTATTAAAAACAATGTATTCAACTAAAAGTAGCTCGACTTCAACATATTTTTACTCAAGTAAAAGGAAAATGCAGCTGTCCAGTTAAATATTAATTAAAAAGCTGTTTGGTAAAAAGGCTGCTGAAGAACCGAGTTACTGTTTTACTAACAGAAAAGAACTAAATTAGACAAAACACAATAAAAAGTTAAGTACTAATTCCTTTTGTTTTTAATGACTGAAAGAAAGTAATAAATGCTAAAGTAATAAATGCTAATAAAACATGTTTTTGACGTATAAGACATGAAAAGATTTCCTAAAGGATGCAAGAAGGAAGTGAGTAAACTACCTCCACTGACAATATGTTCGTTTTTACTGAATATTACCTTAAGCTCCACATCATAAGAGCCTGAGCAGATAAAGGCAACTTTAAGATTAAGATTAATGTAAGTTAAACTTAGACTCCTCCTGATTCTGCTGTATTTTAGGTTTAAATGTGTTTCCTCTGTTTTCAGTTAATATAATTGCAGTGCAAAGGATTTGACCAAAGTTAGAGTAGCTATAAATCATCATTCAACATCATAATATTACTTCAGGAAAAGTAAAATGCATTTAATCTAAAAGTTACTAAAGTAAATGTATCATAGAAACCGCCTGATGCCTCAACCAGCAGGGGCCCGCCTGTGAGGGGCCCCCCTGGGATATTTATGCATATTTGGAATAAAATGATTATGCAATAAAATAAAACCACAATGAGAATAAAATGGCGACGGAAAACATCATCTTTCCATAGCAGCAGGAAGCGATCCGTCCATCATAAAACATCCAGAGATACAGGGAGGAGCAGCAGCAGAGATCAGAGAGAAGAAGCTGGGCTGAAAGGTGAGGAAATATTTATCCATATATAACTAATATTGGTTTCCTGAATAGTCTCAGATCTCAGAAAAAAAGACTAATTTATGCCTGTTAAGAAAAAAAAATAAAATCAGGCCTCCATATCCTATTACATTTAATGTTTTTCATCAAAACTAATCAGATCAGTCTGTCTGTCCTTTAACGGCCAGAGCAGCTGTTCAGTCCAGGCCTGCCTTGTCCATCACACCAGAGGCAGTGGCACAGTGGGTCGCACTTGGGTCTTTTTGCATGGAGTTTGCATGTTCTCCCTGAGCATGCGTGGATTCTCCAGGTTAATTGGCTTCTCTAAAGTCCCCTTAGGTGTGTGTTAATGGTTGTTTGGGTGTTGCCCTGCGATGGACTGGCAACCTGTCCAGGGTGGACCCCGCCTTTCACCCATCGACAGCTGGAGATAGGCACCAGCTCCCCTCGGGACCCCAGCAGGGATAAGTGTGTTTGAAAATGGATGGATGGCTTCTTCCTGCTGCTACAGCTAATTATCTATCAACCCAGCCAGGGGGGATTTACCCCAAGTTCCTGAGGGCCCCATAAAACTCTCTTTCCATGTATGGTTAATACAACTATTCCTTATTTGTGCACATTAATTATGTTTTTGATAAAAATCATTTGGCTAAAATGCCATCAGAACACTTTTAATATTAAGTGTGCCTCAAAATACTTCAAAATACACGTTAGATTTTAAAATTGAATTTTTTTTAAAAATATTTCTTACATATTGAATTGAAAAAGCTTCCTGGATGGGAAGAGAAACGTCTTCAAACTTGGAAACAAAGTCCAGTGGATTGTTTTTTTTTTCTTTTTTGTTTCTTTTAATTGCTAATTTTCTTTTAGATATTTTCATTTAGAAATGTCTTTAAAGATGAACTGCTCTGTATGATAAACAGAATTAAATTCTTTTTTAAATGATTGAGAAAGTGGAGCACTACTTTCAAACTTAGCCCATTGGTGAGTTGTTCTGTTTTCAGAAGGTGCTTTGGGCCCCCATGTGGTCCTTAGGGCCTCACGTTGTGTGGCCCCTGATTTAGGTCGTCACATGGCAGCAATCAGTCCAGTTCTACATGCAGACAAAACCAGTGCTGCTCCATAAACTGTGGAAATGTAACGGATCTGCTGGAATCCGAGTTTCTGGACTGATTCTTAACATTAAGCATTAAAATAAATAAGTAGAAACAAATCAGTTAGTTCCTTCATTTCTTTACTGCTTTATGAACAATATGTTCAATTAGAAACTAATTAAAGATGCAGTTTTACTCAATGTAAAACAAATATTATTTTATGTATATAGTTCTTAGTCAGTGAAATATTATGACTAATGAAGGAAAAACTAAAGATTCCAGAAATGTTCAGGATGAGGCTCTAGATTAGATTTAAAACCTTTTTCTCAACAGAAAGTATTTAATTTATGCTTCAGGTAATCTAATCAATTTAAATGGAATGTTTGGGATGAATAATATAATCAAATGTGTTTTTAAGATTTTAACGTTTAATTCAAGAAAATCAACTTTCTAACAGTTTCTAAAATTCTTAAAAGCTTTTGTTCATTAAATGATCAGATAATCAGATCAAGGTTTTTTTTAAACGAATCAGAAGTTTGATGATCTTCAGTGAAATTTCTTTTTTATAGTTTAGCTACTTAAAGAAAAAACTAAAAAGCAACTTTTTGTACAACTTTCTCCTTTAATTAAAATCAGTTTACAGCAAAGTGTTAATTGCTGAAACAAAATATATGTTCGTTCTCTATCAGTTTTTCTTATAATGAAAATATTGTTTATATTTTCTTTAAAGAGGGGAGATAGAGGGATGTCCCTCCTTTAGGAGCTAAAAGCTGCGCCTCCTTTCCATTTAGCTTATTTAGCATTAAAGCTGCACCTCCTTTCCTTTTCCTCCTTTTAAAAAAAAAAAAAGATGAAATTGTCCAGAGAGCGGTTCCAAACGAAATTTTCTTGTTTTACACTTGTGTAAACAAATTGACAAATAAATCTGTCTATATCAACATATGTCTATATTTCCATTTTGCTCATTCACTCGTAGTTTTGCATAAACAATAAAAAGGAAATGATTAACTATGTTCATTATAGACATTGGGTGATACAAACATATCACATCCTTTAGACGAGGATCCAATCAAAGAATGATCGGCATTAATTCACAGGAAATGTCAAATTTATAGAGAGACGATTGTCAGAGTGCATCTAGATGTCCTTTGTATTCAGGAAGTTCTCTTTATCAGCTCTAGCGTTTCACCTCGTAATCCATCAGACATCCAGACCTGATCCGTCAGCTGGATTATATCAGGGAGAGAACATAGCATCATAGAAAACACCTGCTCAGTCAGACAGACACTGAGTATTTTCTGGAAGACAGGATCAACATGAGGAGGAACCCATGAGATGATGAACAGGTCCTTCCTGTTAGATCAACGTTTTTAATCTTTATTTTCACCTGCTGACTGGAGATTTCCCCTAAACACATACATTGATCCACTTACCATCCAAGAAATAAACTCTGTAATGCTGTCATGTAATCTCAGCCACTATGGCAAGCCGTTTTGATATTTATGAGTTTGTCTGATAGGTATTTCTGGTATCTGAAA